GTGGGTGTGGGTGTGGGTGTGGGTGTGGGTGTGGGTGTGGGTGTGAGGGTGTGGAGATAAGACTAAAGCACCGACAACCACACCCACCCACACCCACCCACACTCACAACCATATCCACATCCGCACCCACCCACACCCACACCCACACCCACACCCATCCACACCCATCCACACCCACACCCCACTCACACCCACACCTCACTCACACCCAAACACCCACACCCACACCCACCCACACCCACACCCACGCCCACTCAACCCACACCCACACCCACAGTGAGACGTCTCTTTTTTTCCATCATTGTATAAGACTGTATGGGTAAACTGACGAAACTAAATAGAAGCTGAGGATTTATGAATGAAAAATGTACTAGAAAAAAGCTTTACTATTCGCTAATAATGCGAGATATGAAAATAAAATTTTCTAGGAAAAAAAAACTAGGTCATAGTTTTAAACAGAATCCGATAAATTCAAACAGATCTCAATGACTGAGAAAATTCAATTGAAAGTTTAAAAAAATCTTTTTTTTTTATTAAACAAGTTTTCCAATGCGAAGTTCTGATAGAAAACATTTTTCTCATTCGTTAACTTACACGGAGTAATTGATATCAATTCAATTTGCTCATCATCTTGATAAACATTCGAAGCTAAAGGAACTTGTTGTATAACAGAAATTGACGCAATATTTTGTGCTTGTGGTTCATTTTTAAATTGAATATCTTCAGGTGAATAACGCATTTGTCGTTCAATATTTCCATTTTTAATCATGTTCTGTCGTGTTACAGTATGATCCTGTGGTCGAATAGCCTTTATATGGAAATATCTGTGTAGTTAGTTTTGCTGTTAAAAGTTTTTCTTCTTGATATTTCTTATATTTATCAAGATTAGATTTAAAATCTTGACGAATACTATTTGCATTTGCTTGAAGATCTGAATACATGAAATGAATTTGAAATTTTTTACCATAAATTTTACTTTCAATAGCACTGAATAAAGTTTCAATATCACGTTGAATTTTTCTTCAAAACTTCTGATAATATTTTCATTAGTAGTTATTTCATGTCTATGTGTATCATCATAATTAATACCAGCATGAGTCATTTGCAAATGTATATGATTTTTTTCTTTTAATGGAAGACAAAAGCACGATTTTGAATCATCATCATTTAAATCAAATAATTTAATGATATATGTACGAAAATCAAATGTTCGCATTTGAATTCCATCGATCAATGATGAACTTAATGAGGAATTGAACAATCAGATGAGAATATTTAAGCAGAAGATACCATAAGACTTGATCAAGATAGATGAAGAAAACATGGATTAGAGAAGAGAGACAAATGAAGATTAATTCATTCTATCAATCATTGTTGAATCTATTTTCCGATGAAATATTTCATTGAACAATAAAATTGATGATGAAGAAGAAGATTTTTATTGAGATCAATTGATCTACGAATGAATAAATTTTTTCAATGATTAGAAAAAAAGCAATCGTTGAAAAAGTTTCTTTTAATGATCAATATCTTCTCATTGGATTCCATGATTTTGTACTGAATTAATCATCACAGCAAGAAAAGAAATAAATGAGTTTAAAAATTGATCAGAAAGATCATCCAGTGATCATTCATGGAATTTATTTTCGTTAACGAATTTTCTTCAAATCCGACTTTTTTTGTTTATTGAAAATCAATACCAATAAAATTTTTTTTAGAGAATTCTTTTTCTTTTTGATCAAATCTTCTCTAAGGAAAAACACTCAGTTTCATTCGATATCCATTTTCATTTTGATAAAATAATTCAATTCAAAATTTTCAAGGAAAATTATTGGAAATTTTCGATTGAAAATCTCGATATTCCTCAACGATTGTTCATTTTATACTTTACATTCAATTATTTGATTAAAATCTAAGTGAACAACATTTCAACTGAACGAAATTGAATTTGTCAATAAATCAACAATTCAAAGAGAATTTATTCATCTTATTTTCATCGAAATTGTAAATAAGTCAATTAAATTGACATTTTAAGAATGTTTTTCTCTTTTTTCATCGAAGGCGATCATTGAAATCTTTTCTTTTCTCTTCTTTTCTTCCTGAAAGATTTGCAATTCTATTTGAACAACATTTTTTCTCAACTCATCTTCATCAATAAATAAGACAACTTCTTTTCATTCACACTATTTCTCTTCTCATATAAATATTAATTTCAATTGATTTCTAAAGAAAATTTTCAATTCTTCTTGACAACTCTATTTCTTTACAATTGACTGTTTTTTTCACATCGAACTCCAAAGAAGTCGAATAAATATTTCACAATTCTATCGAAAAAAAAAACACCATCAAGTTCTCAATGCTAAAACAAAGAAAAAACACAACTGAACAATTCGATTTAACATTTTGAAATATTTGAAATGAAAGTTGAAATGTATATTCCCCAATGATTTGATCATCAATAAGACAAATGACAAGAAAAGAAAACAATTGATGGATTCAAATAAATCTGATTATGTGTAGTCAGTTAGCGAAACAATCAATCGATCAGTCATGTCATCTAGTATTTGCTGATTCATCTTCACAAATCGAACATTTGTTTCGAGACATTACTCTTGAAATCGATAGAATTGATCAACTTAACTTTCTAAGTGAATTTATTTGTGTCTTCTTATCATGAGTCTCTCTTCTCTGTCTTCACCAATTGATTCATAAGGGATGAGAGCTTGATATTGCTATGGCATAAGATCGATAAGATTTTTCTGAGCATTGATTCAAATATCAACTTCTTTGTTTGTTTTAGTGAGAATCAATAAAAAAAAAACTTTTGTTTTTCTTGAGAGAAGTTGTTTTTCGAAATCGAGTGAATCAAAAAA